TTATCATCTCAGTTATCCAAACACTGTCCTACAGTTGTGGGTATTGACGAGGGAAAAAACTCAGCTTAGTGCTAGCTGAATTAATAAAATCAATACATGACCAGCTGCACTATCCAGGAAAAAGGGACTGAGGAAACACCCACAGAAAAGAGTGACAACTTGGGAAAGCAGCAGAAAATTTTTTTTCATACTTACAGGGAACAAGTCACTTATGTGAACTCCAATGGAGTGATACAAGAAAAAAAGAATTAAACTAAAGCAAGCTGATATTGAGATGCTACCTTTATCCACAATACTTGTGAGAGGATACCAAAATGCTTTACATGTGAACAGCAGCATTTATGAGCATGTTGAAATATTGGAGAAATATAGCAGTAGTTACACAAAAATGGTCTGAAGACTTGAGCAAACATATTAGATGGTCTGAATGGCCCATGGCCTGGGCATATATATTTGTTCCTGTGAACAAATCCCTTCCCTACCCCTAGTTTTACTTGCAGGTGGTCTTTGAGGTGTTTATCAGAATAATGCATGTGAAAATACGAAGGCAAACACCTTCCAATTGCAGATAAGGGACAGCTTTTTATTTATTTTTAAATATATCATCAACTACTGCAATACACCTCTAACACATGCAGTAGGCTATGGAAAGGAAGACAAAGATGCAGATAAAATGTGTTTTAGTCAAACAAGCTACTCGCTCAACAGATTTAACTAGACAAAGTTTAAGTGACCTTGAAGTACAGGAAGATGCTGTTATAATGCCATACAAAACACTGGGCACAAAATCGCAAATTCGTAGTTTCAGAAGCTTAAAATAAAAAGCTAAACACACACTATACTCCTGAAGTCTAACAGCTTTTCAGATGTCAAAAACTGGCATCTCACATAGAAAAGTATACAAGGAGAAATAAAGGGAGAGCAAGAAGGGATGAAAAGCTTTCATCATTTTTTGCTTTCACAAGTGCTAGTAACATACAACCAGTGCCTCTATCTTCAAGTGTTTTTCAGAACAATTTATATGTCAAAGAATAAACTTTAAAACTCACTTCCACTTTTGTAGTGAGAATCATATCCTATTTTAAGCTTACATGGCAAAAAAATTGCTTTAAAATACTTTCTAATTAGATATCAAGAAGTTTTAGTCTCTCTATTTTTTTTAGCTGATCTCCTATACAGGTGTGAAAAACTTAGCAGATGAAACTGTACAGAGGATGGGAAATTATATTATACACAGTATGCAGCAGTGCATCAACATCACCATTACTTCTATTTTGTTTATATCATATAGTGGGGGAGTGTGAAATAGTGTAAAGTTTAAGACAGAAAAATTTTGTGTCTGTATAACATATGGCATACTAACCAAATAAAGTGCAAATATGAAGAACCATTAGCAAAATAAAGCAGATATAGAAACAAATACATCCAAACCAAGAGTTTTTGAGATTCCTCTGCCATATATCAGGCACAATCACACTAAATTAAACAGATTTTTGCACAAAAATGTGCTACGGTTTTTCCTTTAAGCAGCCATCAAAATTTACAGAAAGGCAGCCACATCAGGTTGCTAAAGAAAACGCTCATCCCCTCATATGGAATTTAAAAGCATACTGCTTTCAACTTAAGTGAGGAATGTTTGTGGATTTTCTTTGGTTTTGGGGGGCTTTCTGGTTTTTTGTTTTGTTTTTTTTCCTAAAAAACAAATAAAATTAACTATCCTCCTAAAAGCAAGATTATTCCTTACAAAAATTAAAGTGGTGCTATTACTTCTCTGGTAGCTATCTTGAGGACAGTCACGTGTAGCCACTTTCTTACCAGTCCCTGCCCAGCCCTAGTTTTGGGAAAACTTGAGAGAAATAGCAGAGCAAAATAACCCAGACCTCACTGGTCACTTACTTTTCTTCTTCGTGTTGTTCTTGTTTTGAAGCCCATCCTGTGCCGTCTTTAGGCACAATGTTCACATTAGGGTCATTGCCTTTGTTCTCTGCTTTGAGACTGGGGAGGTTTGCTGGGGGAGGCATCCTCCTTGAAATAGCAACTTTTCCAAGACTCTGTAATCCATGGCGTGCAGCAACTGCATGCCAAAACAGAAAGTGAAAGTTAACAATGCTGTTTAGCAGGTGGTGTTCCTGCAAATCTACACAACTCAGTGTTTTGCAAGAAACTCAGAAAAATTTGAGAGTATAAGAATTAGAAATTAAAAATCCTTCATAATTCAAAAGAGAGTGGGAATCAGCGTGTCATTCCCCCAGGGGTCTCAATCCAAGCAATCATTATAAAGTAGGCCCAGAGTGGCCTTTTTTGAAAGGTCAGTATAAATTTCACCCAGTGTTTGTCTGCAAACCAGACAAAGCACCCAATCTGAAAGTCAGCACCGCCTTCTTGTTAATCAAACACCTCCAGTATCACAAAAGTTTTCTGAAATACAGTAAAAGGCACAGCTGGAGAATGGTGTGTCATATGCTGATAGCAAATGGAGACTGCAGCTACACACCAGTTTTTATTTACCTACATTCTATTTCATAGTAGACTGCAAATGCTCTCTCCCTGAACTGATACTCTTGCCTACAACTAACCAGAAACTGGAATCAGCACTGCCTTCCAGAATTCTTCCACTTAACTGTTGTATCATGCAGTTAAAAAAATATTAAAAAATCTTGCTTTGGTGAAGCGCTTATATACTTTGCACTCTTAATTAGTACTACAGTAATGATGAAACAGAATGCAAAACTGAACTCAGCTTACTCACCTGTGGTTTTCTGAGTTTCCAGTGACTTTCCCTTGTAAGTATTAAACAGACTGAGTGTTGCATACTTCGTTTTTCCATCCTTTGCTTTTGTACTCTGGCCTGACTTTTCCGACATTTCGATGGAAAATCATCGAGTCTGGTACCTCCTGCTCACCCCTCAAAATTTGCCTGAAAAGAAAAACAACAGAAAAGTAAAGTATTGGCCTATATTCAAATTGCTTAAGACAAGAGTTCACAGGACAAAAGCAGACAGCATAGACACCATTAGCACTGTTTCATTTAAGCCCATGGGAGATGGTACCTCCTGCTCACCCCTCAAAATTTGCCTGAAAAGAAAAACAACAGAAAAGTAAAGTATTGGCCTATATTCAAATTGCTTAAGACAAGAGTTCACAGGACAAAAGCAGACAGCATAGTTAACACCATTAGCACTGTTTCATTTAAGCCCATAGAACACGTTAGCTCCAGAAACCCCTAGCCTTATGTAACACTTGTAATTTTAAAGTATTTCCATCTCTACAATTTGAATGTCACAAAATCAGCAGAATCAGCATGTAATTAATATCAAAGCCTGTGAAAGCAGTAAATATTATCCATGATTTCACTAAAACCAACAAACATGCAAAGTTTCCAACCAGCAGCTAGTTCCCCACTGGGGAAGCTCAATGACTTCACCCACTCCCAAAGCCAAGTGCTGAGATATCATTAACTGTGGTAAAGCATTTCTGGAATTCAGGGCGCTTTTTTTCCAATTAAAATCATCATGAAGTCAGCAGCTAAAGAAATTAAATACACAGAGTCAGAAGTTTTCTTTATCAAAATTAGGAACACAGTATGTTCTGACAGGGAGGGTGTAAATTCCTTAAACCAAGAGTTATACTATTCTTCTTGCAGCAGCAAACTCCAGGGCTGTTACAAAAGGTCACCTCTCTCCTCTCTCCTTCCCTCAGAATAGCAGACCTTGAGAAAAAGAACCCAGTAATTATCACTGATCTTTCACTAGAAGTTCTTAGAAGGAACTTGCCAGAGTTGCTGCTCATAATTGGGCAGGAACACAAGTGAACATTCACTTAAACAGAACATTTATTATATAGTCGATTTATCTCAGCAATATTCAAAACGCTCGCTGTCCCCCTTGCAATAAAAATGTTTATATTTATTTCCATATGAATTCCCAAATAGTTATACATGCTCAAATATTCTTGTGTTTCACTCTAAAATCACATAGTAAGAAGCAAGACATCATGCTCAAACCCACTGGTGATCAACAAACTCCCTGGGTAAACTCAGAGCCTCAGAAGATCTTCAAAAGGAACTTAGTTCACATGCAATGCACTCATGTATTAAGAAGAGTATCCACAGACAAGCAGTCTAAAGGATAAAGCACTTATTTGGTCATGACAGATATTAACCAATGTCTAAAGATCAGGGAAGTCATTTATATAGAAATGATAACATTCCCATGCTCTTCTGCCTTCTACCTCAATTTACAAGCCACAATTGAAAAGATAAGAAAGAAAGATACCAAATAACCTGGGTTATATATATATAACCATGGGTCCAGCTTCAGCAAGATTTCAGCCAAATGCTATTTTACTACAATCCATGGAGACTTTTGCAAAGGGGACAGTCTTCAGCTTCACACGGAGCCACACACATGGCTACAAAATACATCCTTCCCTCTCACAAGGAGAAAGCAACTACCAGGTTGTTGGAGCTTTTTTCAGATTGGGCAGCATTTGGCTGTTCTAACAGCATGTATTACACCAACAGCAGTTCCTCACGTCATCCAAAACCATGAAATACAGGATGGAAGGAGGGTGAACCCAGTCCACCAAGCTACCACGTAACCAGAACACAGACCTCAGATACGGCTGTTAGGCCATCCCTTATCTATCCCCAAACCTACATATTGAAGCTGCAAGGTTTCACTGGAAGCCGCAGTCCACTACTCAGACATCATTACAGGCACAGGGAAGGAAAAAAAACCCAGGAATTTAGACAAGCTTCTATTTGGAGCTTTCAGTCAAGCAGATTTCAAGCAACAATTCACTGTTCAGGCTGTCCCAATACTTATTTGCAATTCAACAACATGTCAAGTTTTGCCCATTATTATTATTCATAGCCACGCAACCACCCTCAGCTAGTCTGGAGACTTGAATCCAGGCCGACTAGTTTATCAAGCTGGAGTCTAAATCAGACACTAGACCCTGCATTAGCCTCTTCTTCTATGAGAAAACTCAGTTCATCATTCTTCGTGTTGTTCTTGTTTTGAAGCCCATCCTGTGCCGTCTTTAGGCACAATGTTCACATTAGGGTCATTGCCTTTGTTCTCTGCTTTGAGACTGGGGAGGTTTGCTGGGGGAGGCATCCTCCTTGAAATAGCAACTTTTCCAAGACTCTGTAATCCATGGCGTGCAGCAACTGCATGCCAAAACAGAAAGTGAAAGTTAACAATGCTGTTTAGCAGGTGGTGTTCCTGCAAATCTACACAACTCAGTGTTTTGCAAGAAACTCAGAAAAATTTGAGAGTATAAGAATTAGAAATTAAAAATCCTTCATAATTCAAAAGAGAGTGGGAATCAGCGTGTCATTCCCCCAGGGGTCTCAATCCAAGCAATCATTATAAAGTAGGCCCAGAGTGGCCTTTTTTGAAAGGTCAGTATAAATTTCACCCAGTGTTTGTCTGCAAACCAGACAAAGCACCCAATCTGAAACTCAGCACCGCCTTCTTGTTAATCAAACACCTCCAGTATCACAAAAGTTTTCTGAAATACAGTAAAAGGCACAGCTGGAGAATGGTGTGTCATATGCTGATAGCAAATGGAGACTGCAGCTACACACCAGTTTTTATTTACCTACATTCTATTTCATAGTAGACTGCAAATGCTCTCTCCCTGAACTGATACTCTTGCCTACAACTAACCAGAAACTGGAATCAGCACTGCCTTCCAGAATTCTTCCACTTAACTGTTGTATCATGCAGTTAAAAAAATATTAAAAAAATCTTGCTTTGGTGAAGCGCTCATATACTTTGCACTCTTAATTAGTACTATAGTAATGATGAAACAGAATGCAAAACTGAACTCAGCTTACTCACCTGTGGTTTTCTGAGTTTCCAGTGACTTTCCCTTGTAAGTATTAAACAGACTGAGTGTTGCATACTTCGTTTTTCCATCCTTTGCTTTTGTACTCTGGCCTGACTTTTCCGACATTTCGATGGAAAATCATCGAGTCTGGTACCTCCTGCTCACCCCTCAAAATTTGCCTGAAAAGAAAAACAACAGAAAAGTAAAGTATTGGCCTATATTCAAATTGCTTAAGACAAGAGTTCACAGGACAAAAGCAGACAGCATAGACACCATTAGCACTGTTTCATTTAAGCCCATGGGAGATGCATAGAACACGTTAGCTCCAGAAACCCCTAGCCTTATGTAACACTTGTAACTTTAAAGTATTTCCCTCTCTACAATTTGAATGTCACAAAATCAGCAGAATCAGCATGTAATTAATATCAAAGCCTGTGAAAGCAGTAAATATTATCCATGATTTCACTAAAAGCAACAAACATGCAAAGTTTCCAACCAGCAGCTAGTTCCCCACTGGGGAAGCTCAATGACTTCACCCACTCCCAAAGCCAAGTGCTGAGATATCATTAACTGTGGTAAAGCATTTCTGGAATTCAGGGCGCTTTTTTTCCAATTAAAATCATCATGAAGTCAGCAGCTAAAGAAATTAAATACACAGAGTCAGAAGTTTTCTTTATCAAAATTAGGAACACAGTATGTTCTGACAGGGAGGGTGTAAATTCCTTAAACCAAGAGTTATACTATTCTTCTTGCAGCAGCAAACTCCAGGGCTGTTACAAAAGGTCACCTCTCTCCTCTCTCCTTCCCTCAGAATAGCAGACCTTGAGAAAAAGAACCCAGTAATTATCACTGATCTTTCACTAGAAGTTCTTAGAAGGAACTTGCCAGAGTTGCTGCTCATAATTGGGCAGGAACACAAGTGAACATTCACTTAAACAGAACATTATTATATAGTCGATTTATCTCAGCAATATTCAAAATGCTTGCTGTCCCCCTTGCAATAAAAATTTTTATATTTACTTCCATATGAATTCCCAAATAGTTATACATGCTCAAATATTCTTGTGTTTCACTCTAAAATCACATAGTAAGAAGCAAGACATCATGCCCAAACCCACTGGTGATCAACAAACTCCCTGGGTAAACTCTGAGCCTCAGAAGATCTTCAAAAGGAACTTAGTTCACATGCAACACACTCATGTATTAAGAAGAGTATCCACAGACAAGCAGTCTAAAGGATAAAGCACTTATTTGGTCATGACAGATATTAACCAATGTCTAAAGATCAGGGAAGTCATTTATATAGAAATTATAACATTCCCATGCTCTTCTGCCTTCTACCTCAATTTACAAGCCACAATTGAAAAGATAAGAAAGAAAGATACCAAATAACCTGGGTTATATACATATAACCATGGGTCCAGCTTCAGCAAGATTTCAGCCAAATGCTATTTTACTACAATCCATGGAGACTTTTGCAAAGGGGACAGTCTTCAGCTTCACACGGAGCCACACATATGGCTACAAAATACATCCTTCCCTCTCACAAGGAGAAAGCAACTACCAGGTTGTTGGAGCTTTTTTCAGATTGGGCAGCATTTGGCTGTTCTAACAGCATGTATTACACCAACAGCAGTTCCTCACGTCATCCAAAACCATGAAATACAGGATGGAAGGAGGGTGAACCCAGTCCACCAAGCTACCACGTAACCAGAACACAGACCTCAGATACGGCTGTTAGGCCATCCCTTATCTATCCCCAAACCTACATATTGAAGCTGCAAGGTTTCACTGGAAGCCGCAGTCCACTACTCAGACATCATTACAGGCACAGGGAAGGAAAAAAAACCCAGGAATTTAGACAAGCTTCTATTTGGAGCTTTCAGTCAAGCAGATTTCAAGCAACAATTCACTGTTCAGGCTGTCCCAATACTTATTTGCAATTCAACAACATGTCAAGTTTTGCCCATTATTATTATTCATAGCCACGCAACCACCCTCAGCTAGTCTGGAGACTTGAATCCAGGCCGACTAGTTTATCAAGCTGGAGTCTAAATCAGACACTAGACCCTGCATTAGCCTCTTCTTCTATGAGAAAACTCAGTTCATCATAAGTTCTTTAGCAAAATGTCTGTGAAAGAACCTGGCAGTTTCTTTCCTTTCAATTCTCCTGTTAGTTTCTGCTCCCAGACTTGTATTTATGATAAAGAGTCCACCACAATCATCCTGGAGCATCGGAGGAGAAGGTATTGGGCAGATAATTACCAGGAATGCATAGATGGCAAACAAGCTTTCAGGTGTGCATAGAACCATATCAAGTAATACACTATAATTACTTCATACTTAGCTATGCTCGCACGCTCTTTCAAGTGAGAACAACTCACACACAGCTTTAATTTTCAGTCCAAGAGTCATCCAGCCTGAGATTTTTGTAAACAAGAAGTAGCTTCACAACCTTGAATAAACTAGAAGTGGGCAAAAAAAAAAAAAAAAAAAAAAGAAAAAGCAGATGACTCAAGTAATTTCTTGCCCCTTGCCCCTCCCCTTCACAAAAGCAGTGAAGCCCGAACAGATGCAGGCAGAGCAGAAAGCAGTTTGAGGATTGTTTGAGACAACATTGAGTTTTTGTCATAGTTTCCAAAGCCTGTACCTCTGGTAGAGATCAAACGTGGAAAATCTTAATCATAACTCTCTTCTTTATGGAATATTATAGAATTCTTGGATAAATCTTAATTGTAACCATTGCTCTTTCTAGAGCATTTAATAGCTTAAAGAATAGGAGGCAGTGACCATGTTCCCCACTAATGCTTTTTTATGTCAAATTTACAAAAATTGGTCTGCTCATTACAGCTGAGCTCTATGCCTTTTATAGTATTAAAATTCACTGTTTGACAAGTTTTTCCAAAAGTTACACTACAAAGAAAAAGAAACAGAATATTCTTAATTGATTAAAATTGCACATTCCTGAGTAATCTGACTTGCAGAAATCAAGCACTGCAAACAGTGCTCTTTTACATTAGGCTAATCAATATATTCATACTTAACTAAGTTTAGACCTGATACCAGTTGCCAAAGAAGACATACTTGCAAAATTAGACTTTAGACCAGGTACTCAAGCCAGGGATGACAAATCCTCCCTGTGAAGAGCCCATGTGGCCCTCTACAAACATACCTGCCAGGTCACCCACTGCCACCTAACAGTTATAAAGAGATAATTGCATAGTTTTGAGCCATATGAAATGTATCCAGCTCCAAGACCTTTGCCTTTTCACTCAAACTTTAGTTGTATATGCTGTATCCCTATACTGGAGCTCTGGAATCATTCCCTCTGTAGCACCACCTACAAGGTATTTTAACATAGGACATGTTTAATTTATGCATACAATAGATTGGCAAATATTAGACTCACCAAGTGATTCCCAATTTGCCCTAATATCTTTTGTTATCATCAATAAGGTAGCTGTTAGTCTGAACTCTAATATTAGTCAAATCCTTAGAAGCAAAGTGCTGTTGTCCACTAGGTCTAGACTCACTGTCCCATGAGCGAGAACATGAAACAGTTGTATACATCTGAACAGCAGCAATGTATAAAAGATGTCAGAACTGCTTTCCAAAATTAAGTAACTACCATGACAGCAAAGAGAAGGGCAGGCAACAGTGCAAGCAATAACAGCAGCTGGCAGGGTTCACTGCACTATTAAGAATTTTAAGCAAGTCAGCAGTTCATTTTGAATGACTGCAGTTACTATTATGCATAATTACAGAAGGCACAATGCTCCCAAAATTCCAGGGCAAAGATTACCTTTCAGCTGCTTTGTAATGTTATCAAATAAATTAACTGGCCTTTGCCATAGCCTTAAGATTATAAGTTTAAAATTATTACTGTAATTTCTGTACCAGACTATTTTTTCAGACTGCAAGTGGCTGGCTTATTTAGATCCTGGAATGAACTCGGAAGCATGTGTACAGAAATTAGCACAATAAATAGCTGCCATAAATTCTAGATATTCTGTCTCTGTTAAGGAATATTTACCTGTACCCTCCTTAGATACTTACTGTTAGTAGAAGAGCCAACAAAATGCAGCATATTCCAGACTGTAGAATCATATTTAAAAAATAATAATACCAACCCAGCAAACATAAAAACCCATACATACCACACAGACCTTTCCCACTAAGTTCCTAGCTCTTCTGATCATTTCAGAATTCCCCAAAATGCCTTGTTTAGAATTTAATACTACTAGTTCATACGTCTGTAAATTCTGCATAGTGTTCCATTAGGACCAACTGCAGGCTGGAAAAGATCTTATCTCCACTTAGGAAAAAAGTTCTTATGCTATTAAATAAGGAACACAGTATTACATATTTTGAGGTCACTTTTGAGGATCAGAATTGTAAGGAGTTTAAAACATTTAACAACTTCACTCAGCAATTCTCGCCTGGTTTCCTTCTTTCTCACCTACCATGTCCACTTCAGCATTTTGTAGTTTTCAGAAGAAAAACTGTAGCATAGGCTGATCCCTGAGGCACTAGAAAATCTATAGAGGACTACTGTTAATGGCCACCAAATGGAAAATCAAAATGAGTTTTACTCCTTAGAACCAAAGCACTCTGTCATGAGACAAAGCTGTAGTAAAACAGGCTTGCTAGGTCTATTATTCTTCAAATTACTCCCCTTTAAAGCCTAAGAAAGTCTTTCCAAAACACTACCAAAACTAGGTATGTCAGGTGGAAAATATCATGACAGAAGAAAGCCATTTTAGGACATTATCCCACACATGCATGTTACAAAAACGCAGTCTCTGGATGCCAAAAATGAGCATCCACAAATACGTATGCATCAGTTTTAAGAGACATCTAACAGCAGTCTAAATAGAGCCACTAATCTATGCAACGGAAAGCAACCAAAATTAGCCACCCTCAAAAAGTCTACACAGAAACTAACTTTACCACAAAGCATATGTTAGTTTAAACTAGCAATCAGTAGAGCAACCAATTCTTTTGCTGCCTTAGAAAGACTGGAAGGCAGCTTGTTGAACTGTCTTCTGTGAGAAATCCTGGTCACCTAGAATAGAGCCTTCCAACAGGACAACCAGCAACAAACCACATCATCTCAGGGAACTTTTATTAGGAGTCTCTCATGTCTAACATAGCACTAATAGTAGTGACTAACAAT